GTATCTAGAGGCTAAAAACTAATATCTAGAAGCTAAAAACTAGGAACTTGAGGCTATAAATTGGTATCTAGAGGCTAAAACTAGGAACTAGCAGCCTGAAGCTAGGAACTAGTATTCCTACACTGGTAACTGTTGACTAGCATCTCTAGGCTAACCACTGGCATACATAAGATATTTTTTGGTTGATTCTTTTTAAAATCAAACTTATTTTTGCTTTAGTCTTCTGTTATTTGTTGAGAGTTTTCTGTCATAACTTTTGAATTCTGAATTTCTGCTAATCAGCTGATGTGATCAATCGATCAGCTGCTGGAAACATCAACTTAAACTCAAACAGCTGATAAAACATGATGAATAAATCCAGTCAGGAAGTGTAGCGGCTAACACCAGCACTTTATGCTCGCCTCCTTTCCTCTCCACTGCATCGCCCTTTGATCTTTGGTTTTGTCTTGTTTTTTACTTCAACTTTATTTAAACTGACCAACAATACAAGACATCTTAAAAGTCTGTTGACATACCAACAAGAGCAAATGATGAAAGAAGAAAAAATAAATAAAATGAACACACTAAAGACACACGCAAAAAGAGAAAAAAAACAAAAAAAAAAAAAAAAAAAAAACCAAAAATTACCCTGTCAACCCGGGAAAGGGCAAAAAGAGAAAAAAAACAAAAACAAAAAAACAAGGCAATTATTCAAACAAATACACTAAACGTGGCACAAACAGTCTGAACAGCTTTTCTGTTATTTATACAGGACATGGCTGAGATGCACGGCTCCATTTCAGTCTTTAGCACCAAAACAAGTGGTTTTTTATTTGTGAATTTGCATTTGTGGATATGAAATGTAGCAACAAGTAGGATGAGATTCACCAGAAAGAATGCAGCATCCTTCTTCCCAAAGTCACTAAAATAACCACAAATGGCATTTTTGTAGTACAGGGAAAAATCTGAGCAAATATGATCAACTTCTTTCCAGAGTTTATGACCAGAACACATGTGAAATAGTTTCAGGATGCAAACCACAAAAAGAGCATTTCAATGTCATCCTTAAACGTATTCATTTGTGGGGTAAAACCTGTGGAGCAACTTCAAGGACACTGCTTTGATTTTGTTAGTTAAAAGGAACTTGTGGGGTCGGGACCAGACTTTTTCCCAGTCGATGTGAAAGTCAAACTTATTCCAATAGAAAGCTGCAGGAGGAGCAGAGCCTGGGTCAGCCTGGAGCAAAGACCTCACTTTAGAGTTTGAGGTTCTGTCGGTAGAAAAACAAAGTTCGCCTAAAGGCAGCTGCGGTGGATCTGTCGGTGACACTGATCATGGTGGACAGAAATCAGATACCTTGCCGTTACTTTACCGCTGGCTTCTACGTTACATTTTTTCAGTTTACGTATTTTCCGTCTGTTGTCCCTTCAAAATAAAAGCGCTTCCGTTTTACGTTAAATAACGAAATTAAAAGTATAAAACATGTCATACGTAACAGATTGAAGTTAACACATGAACTACTGAATGATAGTATTAATAACAACATTCAATAAGTACCGACTCAGTAACACTGGAGTTACTGACAGTGAGTTCTGCTGTGAACACATACAGCCAGTCAGCGAGCTTCTGTTATAACATGGTTACAAAACTACAGGAAGTGCTAACGTTAGCAGGGCAGGCTAACTCAACTCACCTGAAGCTCACAGTTGAAACCAGCGTGTGTCCGTGTGTGTGTGTCCGTGTGTCCCTGCGGCCTCACGGCGCCTCATGCACACTGTTGTGTTGTACTTCTGATCGTTGTTGTGTTGATTTTCTGGCCGCTGTGTGTTTACAGAGCGCCGCTACGGTGGCTGGAGGAGCTCAACGCATAAAGCGAAGCCTGTATTTGATTGGTCTTATACTGGTCCTTTGACTCCCACAGAGCAGACTGTCAGGCAGGCAGCCTGAGGACAAAAAGGGATTTATGTAAAAGTCCGGCTCATCTGTGGTTCTGTCCGAGCTGCAAAAACACATGAAAAGATGACACGACGAAGAGACGCCACCTTTCGGCTGAAATGCGTTTATTGTCTTTAAAGCCTGGCAGACCAAATCCAGGATTTCCCACCGCGGAGGTCAAGCTACGGCGGCCGTAATGGAGCAACACAATGCGAAGGTTTAAATCAGTTCGGTGCAGGCTGCAAATGTTTGGAGATGTGTCGGTGTTTTCGAGTTTTTTTTTTTTTTTTTAGAACTGTAGTTCCCGATGAAGGTTTTTTAAACGTTGCTCCGACGTTATTTAAGTGGTTAGAAGCTGGCCGCCGTTAGCCTGGAGCGGCTAGCTGTTAGCTCCACGTCTGAATGAATTAAGACGGAGCGTTTCAGATGGACTTCACGCTGGTTACTGGAGCTACCGGAGCTGGTTAGTGTTTACTAACCCCAAACCGGTAAACTACCTCTGCCACCACCGAACCGTCCGTTTGTTACCGGTCCACTCCGGTGTTCTTGTTGTTAGCGCGGTGCTAAGCTAGCTGGACGCTAACGGTGTGTCCGGGATGGACAGTGCAGCTTTACCGGAAACACAACACGTCGGTAAGAATCAAGTTAACAGCTAACCAGCGATACTAGTTACTTTGTTAGTCTGACCAGCAACACCAGGCT